TCCTTTATGACACTGAACGCAAGGTAAGCTTCCCAAGAAGCAGAAACCATGTCGAGGTCCGCGAAATAGACTAACCAGTCTTATTACATCTGATGAGTAGAACGCATACAAAAATTAATAAACTATCCATCCGAATATACTGAAGAAGTTATCTCCTAATTAAGGAATACCACAGGACGTTAAAATATGCTTAGATTTGATTTTGTGTTGTATCTGGTAGACTGGTTAACACGAGCGAATCAGCGGCAGTCGGTGACCTTGAAATTTCGCTCACCCAAACGAAATGTTATTGACAAGATAACACTGGAACGTACTGCCGTATTAGGATATCCACCCAAAATTTTCAGCTTTGTAAACTCAGTAGAATTGGCGAAAATAATTTGGTCTTGTTTCTAGTGAACAATGTCAGCAAGCGTTTTCAGTTTATTAGGTCAGATCTGAAACTGTCGTACTCTGAGCACTTCTACTCTGTGAAAAAATTACTCACAAGTTTGCTAAAATCTCCTGGATAGCCCACGCCCAGTTTCGCTAGTCATACAGCTCTTCAGCTAGACGTAATCCCCAAGTTTTTGTCAACCTTATGTTATACTTGGACTCGAATTGTAATGATTTCGACAAATACACTCATTTGTAAATCAGCTTATTTTTACTTAATATTCACTTGACTGAATCTCTCGCTTATGATATTATTCAACAGATTGTGCTTCACAAAGGTCGCCTCTTGATACAGGTGGTATGATATTCGAGATATCACATTATATTTTCCCAAGGGATTCTATTCCCTCATGTTTCATTTGATGCGGCACATTCAGCGGAAACTCGAAGACTGTGTGTAACTGAAAAAAAACTTTCATCCAATTTATTCGATGTACGAAAAGCTTGCGGGCCTCCGTAGTTCATCATTTATCCCAGCTTATGCAAGCGTCACATTTGCTGGCTCCACACCTATCTTCACTCCGCCAGACTGGTGCATGCTACGATGGCTACAGGCTACCTTGCACTACCCTCTATAACATACTTTACGTTTCGGTTTTATCTTCCGCATTGGTATCAACGATGAACTATTTAAAACTGGTAGGTGCGAAGTCCTCGGTATGTAAATTACTTTCGAGATTAAAGTTAGTGCTTTTAATAAGGCAAGGAATAGTGGATAACTCTCTGCTTTCAGCGGCATAGCATTACGACTGTCCCTTCAGACAACCCCATCTCACAGGGCGGTTGAAAACACACGCTTCTAACTGCTGCTCATATATATGTCCCGCAATCAAAGATATCCAATCTTTATCCGGAAAGCTTTGGACGCAGCGCAGTAAGCCACTAGGTCCAACACTGACGGCAAATTTCTTGTCATTGGATGTCCAGAAAAAGGCGTCAAACTGTGTATGCTTCATCCTCTCTTGTCTTTAGCGGATAGCATGACATCCGCGAAAATTTACTAGGTGTCTACTGAGCCAATTTGACTCCAGCCCAGCCCTTGGTAATCATGATCCCGCTGAGGTTACCGTTGCAGGTTGTTGGTTTAGAAAGACTCGTTCTCCATAGTTTTTTTTATCGTGGATGTTCAATTATTCAAATTCACAACCTATGGAAACATCACATCTAGCCGGTTTCCAGCTACTCCAACTCAACAAGCTAACCAGGAGAGGAGATTCTTAGAAAGCTGGAGAAACCAGTAATTCAGCGTGATGCATGTATTGTGGGAACTAAATATCGATATTTGTCGTCAACAAGAATGTATGTATACAAAAACGAGGTCTTTAAGTGCACTGAATAGAATTTGGTTGAATACCAACGAAGCATCCACCGAATGATCGGTAATTCGGGGTTATTAAACCTAAAGGCATTGGTTCCTGTTGTTTCCTGCGTAATGAACCGTCACACAGCTACGAGTCCTCGGTAGGCATTTATTCAATAGCCGTGCACCATTTCGATTTTGGTCTTTCGGCGGCGATTGTCAACATAGAATACCAGTCAGTTTTTGTTATACGGGTAGCTAATGGTCGTTTAACTACAAGAAATGGGTAGAATTTGGTAGAGGAAACGCAGGTTTTCCACCCTTAGACATAGTGGCCTAGCTGCTGTGAAAAGTGCCTCAAGATAACTATGCTCTGGTAAAATATTTTGACATCAGGCAAAGGTATTCATTGATTGTTGGTCTATATCAGTAGGTCACGAGGGTTGACAAACCACTGTGTGCCTATACAAGAGGAAGGAAGACGAAGCCTATCATATATTGGCATGCCTTAACCACGTACACGGTGGCTGAACGTTAAATAATCAACTGACCTTACTTAAACTGGTTGGGAGAACTTCACAACCTATCTTCAAAGTCTAAATTACATGACGTAAAGGTGGAACTAACTTACGCAACCGTGCGACCCATTTGGGATTAAACATAGAGAACACGTTCACATTTATATTTTGTGTAGATTCACGAGGGCCAAAGCAGGTGACACTAGAAATAAAAAGTCGAAAATCTTTAACCGAAGCACCGCTTCTCTGGGTTGTAGCGGCAATCTGGTTCAGAGGCTTACGGAGAAGAGCGTAGAATATGGCAAGGATTGTGCTGATGGTATTTAGGCGAGGAGTCGGTGACCCGTCCAGCATTGAACACTGGTACGTTTTCTAGATTTATTACTTCTAAGCCAGAGTCGATGCTTTACTGAATGGTTTTGGAGATAAACAAGGGCCACTCGTCACTGATGAAAGATGATGTGCTATTTTGCTTCGCGATGGTGTAAGTGTCAGCAGTCGTGTGTATTGGGTTCACAAAAAGCTCAAAGATGTGCTGGAGACACGTTGTAACTTGATGATCCGCAGGTTGTTTGAAACGCTTGAACATTTATTGATCTATCCGACTGAGATCTATTGAATTCGGTATACTGGATCTATGGTATCATGATTCAGTAACGCAACTGCCATACTTTTCGAAGAATTTAGACAGTAGGAACAGATTAATCTAAGTGCACCAGTACTTACGTGTTAGCTCTATTCGAGTACACACTAAACATGAATGGACTTGGAGCAATCGATTACGCGTTTGCTACTGTTCTACATATGAGATTAGCAGCCGCAAGTCAGAGGTATAGATGGTAGATGGTCCTAATTGGAAGCCATGCTCGTCTTTAATGGCTGTTTCCATAACAGGAAATGAGCAAAATCAGTTAAACATGATCATTTATAAGTGTGATCATTTACAGCGCGATCAGTAGGATGAAACACCGGCTGTCTTTGGCTAACGTCCTTACAATGCTTGTTTCATTCTGACGGCTTGTTGCTTGACACTCGCGGCCCTGGTAAATACAAGCAGTTGTTGTACTACTGGACCGTATTTTTCTGCATCCTGATGTTGTATCCTGAAGTGCGTACATGCCAACAGTATCGAGTTTACACTTATGTTTGTTGCAGCCAGCAAATCTCAAATCGACTGCACAGTTTGAATTTTCACAATACAGCAGAGGAAACTGATGTGAAAGTCTCCATTTCGTGTGAATTCATGATCGTAGTGGGCTGGAATGGCACCAGGGAATACAGACCTAGACAAGAGGATACCTGAGCTCTTTAGACAAGGACCTTAGCTCAAAAGGCTAACCGCAAGGCAACAGTGGTTGGCGTAATGTCGTTAGATCAGTCTACACTTTTAGGGAGAAAGTCGACACATGTTCCAATCCCCATTCTTGATGACCGATGGATCTTTACCCATCAACCAGCCTAGTATGGGGCTATATGAGTGTCAAACTCTTGCTCCATAGTGTGATTGAGTGGGCTGTGTAGGTGCAAAAATCGCCACACCGCACTACTGTCCAGTCTCTTCGTGACGTGGCATGATACTTAACGAGCTCATCATACAACTCATGGGAATAATAGACGTTTTCCAGCTGCCCAAACTGATCACTTTGAGCCTCGTTTGCGGTATAAGCAGACGGTGCTCTCAACGTGGTGCGATGTTTTCGGAGGATTTAAGCTAAACTATACGTCTCGCAGAATGACTCTTGCAGGTAACTTACACCTTGACCTTACAGGAGATGCATTTTTCCAACGACGTTTTCGTAGAATTTTCGTTTTATCTACATCTCATTAATCAGTGACGTCAGTTTTTCCCGCCCTGCACACCGCTACAGTTCCTGTCATAAAATTCGGGCCAGTCTGTTAGAACGGATTTTTTTAGACGCGTGCACTCTCCGGGCCATGCAGTTGTCACCAATTAGAAAAGTACACTTTTTGGACCTTTTTCAAGCTATTTAAACCTTACAGGAAAGCGCTCTTTACTACTAAAGCGACCCATGCATGGAAAATATGGCATAAACTTCAGACTCTTCTTCACTAGGTAGATTAATGACATACTGCGTGAACTGTACATAGGACAATGTTTACTCATCTGTGTAGTGTTCCAATGTGAGCGTCCCGTCTTATTTGATAACAAGTATTACTTTCCAGGTATTGTGTAAAACCACTGAGACGTAAAAGCACACATTAAGTAGTTTTCGGTGGAGAGGACCAGCAATGTGCATAACAAGACACTATTTGAAATTCCATCAGTCCACCTTCATGTGCATACTGGTGATCGAACGGCAAATGCGAATTCCCTGGCAAATAATGTGATTTGTATAGCTTGGAGATTTGTATAGTTTGGAGATATTGGTATTTCGCTTTTTTCTGTTCAGGCATTATACCAAGTTGCTTCAAGAACTTGTCCCGTTTTCCGTGGAAGTTTCGTGAGCGCAGATGGCACAAGAATCATGCTACTAGCTTATATGCGAAAGAATTACCACTTCTAAGTCAAACGAGCATCCTGCCGCAAACAGCGCATCTGATCATTGAGCATTTGTTTTAGTTTTCCAGGAAAAATTTTCTGACCGCAACACTGAAATTGACAGTATAGTAAACTAGGATGAAATGGGTGCCAATTCAGTAAATCTCACAGGCCTCCACCATGTCAAAGTAATAAATTATCCGGTATGTGTAGGCTTCTGTGATGCTTCCTAAAGGGATCTTCTAACCAGCGGAACGGGTTTTGGGTCGTAGTTCGAGGCGTCGGACAAACCAATCACAATCCCAAAGAGTGAATACGTTTGTTTGGTAGGAACGACAAGACAGGGGCGTCTTAGTTTTTTTTGTTGGACTGATAGTGACTATTTGACCAAGCATGTCGATAGGCCGGGGTTGAAGTCTCATTCAGGTCAAAAGAATGTACACCTGCAATAATGGGGCAAAAACTTTGACACATTGTTTCCTCGCTGTGGCGTGAACCAACCAGAATACTCCCAGTCGCACAGGAGTAGACTAGTTCAAGCCGGATACATGTAAATACTTCCGAGTGGTCCCACCATCAGGTTTTGACAGTTGGTTGCTATTCTGGTAAACTAAGGGGGACTAGGGTAAGACCATTTCTATTGGCAGGAAAAATGGTCACATGGAATACTGAAACTTGTCTCTTACACAAGCCCGGTGCAACTCGATCGATAAGCGAGGTTACTGCACATTTTTCAGATGCTACGGCGTTCACACATTCATGATGAGAGTCGATAACCCATCCAAGATTTCAGAGCAAAACAACCAGCGTTGAGTGCAAGATTGCCGATGGTAGTCAGCTAAGAAACAAAAAATGAATATGCATGTATCTGTGGATGACAAGTGAAGGCACTGTATACAATACAGTGTGATCTTAACGGGTATAATTCACCGAAGGTTTTTCACAGCTGGTGTTTTGCCTGGAGCTGGTAAACTTCGTCGGATGACTTTGTTAAGTGTTTTTTCACAGTTGAGTTGACCTTCAATATAGTCTTCATGGCCAGGCCCACTATCTGCGGAAGGATCTTCACATCCACCAGGCAGAAACATTCCAGGGCGTCTGTTAAAATCTTCCTCAGTCAGACTTAAATTCATATGTGAAGCACTGGAACTCCCCCGTTGCTCACAATCAATTAGGTTGAAAGTAGGAATGTTGTTAACCTTAGTTCCAATGAGAGAATCAGAGTGTTCCCCTTTGGACTTTTGATACGAGCCATTGTAAAGTTCGTCTTCCCAAACCACTGTCCGCTGTGGACTGATAAAAATGAAAAGGCAGTTATTAGGGGACTTAAAATGAGTTACTTAACCGATAAAACAACTGTTTTTGCCTTAGTACTTTACGGCATCTAACTGGATGGAACAGTATGATAAGTGATTACCCATCATACTTTGTGAATATTTTCAGTGATCACTGCGCATAAAATTTACAGAAAATCTGCATTAATCAGGACAGTGTTTTTTGAGAGCAGTAGTTTAGTTGCACCTAAGAGAGCGATGGAATGCATTGGAGTGAAATATTTGGTGGAAACATTGGTGGAACATTGGTGGTGAAATATTTGAAACCAAACTGCTTATGTCAGCGAATCAATCAACGGTCACAAACAGACAAGTTAGAAATAATCAATTATTTCCCATCATGAATGTACTTGAGTGCGTGCTTTTCGAAGCAGTGAGGTTGGGTTCGATTAATTAAGTCAGGTTAAAATAATTTCGGACTAGGTAGGATGTCCGGTTTTGTAAATCCACGCAGACAGGAAACGTGTATCCGTTCTAATTAAGGTGTGCTAGATGAAGCGCATCCATGCTGCTGGACACTGCAATAATGATGCTTCAGCATGACAGTCGTCGTCAACCTTAATGGTAGCCAAAAATGCTTGGGGAAGTAAGAAAACCGACAGTCCAGCTGTGTTCTAGATTTGCCTCAAACGAGCAACTCCGATTTTTCTAGCACGGACATTCTTTTATTTATTGTGGTATTTATTCGTGGATGACAAAAGTGACCTGCATAGGTGGATCGACTTTGTGACAGGGTCTGATAAGTAGCATGTTGTTTTCAACTCGGGGTTTCATTGTACTTGCATATGAAGTAGGGTTATGCGCACTACTATTTGCGCTAATGGTCGGCGAAATTGTTCTCTATGTGAGAAAACATACTCTCAGCTAACTCCACTAGAACCTATGAAAGTCTCTTGTTCCGGAGGGCCACCACATTCGAGCTTTGAAACATGTGGTTCATCCCAGCGAGAGACTTGGTTCAAGATAGAAAGATTCCATGCCCTATTGAATTACAATCTTTGGCTTAAACCTAGCTGCAGATCAGTACTAAGCAGTGAATCAAGGCAAGAGGTACTGAATACAGTGAAGGGTGCCACACTGGGTAGAAATATAACTGGGGTTAGTCAGTACCATAGCTATGGTAGCCAGGCTGCTATTTCTAATGATGGAAGGACCCAACCGCATCAGATCCACGTCTGAACAAATAAAAGTTGTGCACCGTAAAGCAACGAACGTCTAAGAAATAGACCCCACGTACTTTATTCAAAAGACATTGGAACAGGTTTCGCTTTCTAACTTGAGTGAAAATAAACCACAAGGAACATGAGGACATAAGTCCAATCAGCCAATCACTTATTTCCCAACCATTCACGATGGGATAAATCATTACCTGGGGGTAAAAGCTAGTTAAACTTGTTAGGAGGCCCCTAAATACGTGCGGCCACTCTAGATTTGCTATTTAATTTCTACGGAAGGTATAGTGGAATTACTCTTTAACTCAGTGCTCTGCCTCATCGATTTGTTGCAATGTTTCTCTACGGTGTGGTGTTGGGGGCCGTTGACATCAGGATGTCGATGAGAAATGTCAACAGCATTGAGAGCAGACACAAATCGTTTGCAAATCAAAGCACGCAAAAATTCGAATTCAAACCAGGCATATTGTTCAGCACCAACGGAGGGGAAGAATGAACCTGGGTATCATCTACTGTGTCTTCCGTACACGCTGTATGTCCTCAGTCCCCGTGATCGATCGGATTCTTGAACAAGCAAGACAGTATCATGTTGTGGTCAATGACATTAGAGTTTAGTCGCATTTTTTGGTCAAAAGTTGACGTGGCAGAATTATGAAGACTCATCCACAGTACTTGTTCCCAAAATAAGGGGAACAAGGACTACGATTATCGGCGCTTTTTTCAAGAGACTGGATTGGAAAGTGCACAACCTGATGCGCAATATTCTTCAGGTCAGTTTTGATCAGAGAACCCGATCCACCTGAGTCCGTAGTCAGTGTGACGTCAAACCGTGACCAAAGATGGCCTCACAAAAACCGCGCACAGTGGATCAGGTGGAAGTGGCTTTCAAAAGAAGACGGCTGACAGGACAACTCTCTCTAAACACTAGAATATTGGCGGAATTTTATCATCCCAGTAAATCTGATGGGGTTCAGGTGTGACCTTGAAACGCTGATGGCACAACGTTATGAGTATGGGGTGTTATAAATCAGTCAGCAGAGAACACAGTCCTTCAAAACATGCCAGAAAGCTTGCTATTGCTAAACTGGCTGGACAACCATGAGTGTATGGCTGTTGCATTGTGTAAAATTAAATGGAAAGAATGTGCTGAATACAGGAGCACCAAGTTTGTTGTCACTTTTGCATTCGGTTAGGGGTACAATCAGGTTCCAGAGATCTCGAAATACTCTAGCAGTCAAGGCGCAAAGCTACTGGTCAGACTTTTCATGGTCCTAACCCAATCTGCTTTTTAAATTGTCAATGCCTTGGCTGTAGTGACAACCTGTCCCCCTTGGTTATGTGGTAGCTGAAGTTTTCCTAGCGAACAAGTGTTTTTAATACTGTATGATTCGATCAGTCCTAACCAAATCCAGCCGCGGGACGCCGGGTAGACCACGTTTCCATGCAGATATATCGCGGCTAGGTTAGCATTTAGGGATTGCAGACATCTGTCAGAGTTCCTTAGTTGCCAACAATAGGCATAGAAAACGGCTATGTAAAGCTACGACCAACATCGGTTTCTTTAAGAGGGAAGACAGAGAGAACGCGAAGACTATCAAGGATTTGTATACAAGAAACCTGTCCAAGAGAAGAAACCTTGGGAGAGAAACGGCTTTGACGATTTTCCTTTTTACATTGTAAGTAGGTTTCTCCTCCTTATCAGCGAGTTGATTGAGAGGTAGGTGTACCCTTCAAAATTAGCCTACAACGGTTGACCACTAATATCCTGACAGTCAGAAAAAACATGATAGTTTTATTCTACGGCTAGTGGCTTTACACTCACCAATTATTCTTCTGCAGCTCACGCTGTCGTCTCTCCCTCGAGGACTCCGATATTAGTACACTTTTCGGTTTCTTGCTCTTTTCTTGTTGTTCTGTTTGTGCACTATCAGTTGCGAAGTTGCGCATATTTCGGTATGCGTCCGTACGTGCTCGGCTTAGGATCTGGGCTGATTTTGCAGACAGATCATCACTGTCTGATGGTGATCCGGTGTCGAACCCGCTAGAGTCTGCGGCGTTTATTGATCTCAGTGCGGGTTTAACAATTTGGATTGGCGTTGGCTTCAACGTATTGGTCGAAGTGTTCGGTACCTGTGTTGATTCAGCCAAGATCTTGTCATCTGCTGGATTTCGATAGACGTTGTTCTCTTGTTTTGATAAGTACTCAAAACGTCTCTGACACTGAGGTAAATTACAACAGTTGTCGAGCACATCTGCGTAGGTTTCTCCTCCATCGTAAAAGCTGTCTGAAACGGCTTCCAGAGAACAGCGACGGGAAGTTGGACGAATGTGGTGTGTAGTTTCCTGGATCAAATGTTTCGTTGTACCAGGGCCATAGAGTCTGTCTACATAATTGCGTGCCAACTGGATTCGCTCGGAAAATCTTGAACAAACCCGTGCAGAGGATTCGGATTCTGACAGTGAACAGTCCTTTTTCCCAAAAATCGTGTTTTCTGGCATGGAAGGGTGAATTTCCTCACCATATGGGAATTGGATACCACAGCATAAGCCCGGTGGGCTTGGCATTCCTTCGTTCTCTCCGTGTGGCACCTGTGAGTTCTGATGAATGCTGGATGGCTTCTTTTCGAACGTTCCTCTCTTCAATCCTTTAAGTTCACTGGTATGGTCTAGTGGAAAACTAATTGATTTTGGTTCATCTTGAACCACAAATTTTGGGAGATGTTGTGTGCTTGACTGAGAAGATTGTGTCAAACAATCCATTGGGTTCATTTTCCCTGCCGCCTATAGAGAAAAGACAGCATAGTATCGTGTAACGTTAGGGAAGAATAGCTGATTTTGTGGGAAAATTACTTCTCTCTATGCATGGAGGGAGGGAATATTCGAATGAAGTCTTCATGACAGGAGATCGACATTATCATGTCTGTAGGTCTTCAGCGAATGACTACTTACTTCGTGGATTGTTATCTGTTTCGGGGTTTATCTGTCACAGCAGACTAAGTCTACACTTCTCTAAGAGCTCTGGGTCATACCGTATGCAGTTTGCTTTGAGACATGCATTGGACCAATGGAACTCTGTATACCTGGTGTAAACAGGGAAGATTAGGACGCAACGTTGAATGGGAAGAGGCAGCTCCGAAAACACGGGTGTGCCTAAAGGAAGGCTCAAAAACGTCATTCCAAATAAGAAAAAATGAAAAAATTGGGATACATAGTGTGTGTCAGGGAGGGCCTGGTGTCCTGAAAGATATATATAACACCCAAGGAACATGCGTTAATGTTTCGCAACAGCCGTTTTCAGATTCTTCTGTACAGCGTTGAAAACAGAGGGTTAATGCTAACGCACTTTTTGGCCTAAGGCCCCCAACCTTTCAGATCACTGAGTCACAATCTTACGGACACCTGGGAACAACCTGAGAGTTGAACCTAGTTTTATCTGCCACGGATAGACTGAAAGCCGAAATTACTAATAAGCAAAATGATAGGTACACCCAAATGGTGTTCTGCATTTAGCTGTGGTCTGGCACAGGGAGGTCAGTATGGCGCATGCATGTGTATATAGACGTATATAGTTTACCAAAAGAACGATTTGATATCTAACTCCGGCAAGGTGCCTACATTACAAGGATGGGAAAGTTGATGCTGAATGGAGTGAGAATCCGAAGGGCATCATATCTACTCATAACATTTATCTTATTATTTAGGTACTAGATGATCACTATGAATCTGCATTCTAGAGGTCGAGGATGCTTAGATGAGCGTCATGTGATTTAGTATAGCACATGGGTGACTTATTTCGTAAATATGTATGTTACTGTGCTGATATCAACCCACTATTTTGTGGCTAGGCTTTTGAATCTATGGCTTTGGCTGAGAGCTCTAGTTGTCTTTCTGTGTGAATTTATTCTCCTGGGATTGTCTCAGCTCCCTTACAACCATCAACTTTGCAGGTGAAAGTATTTTGACCCCACATTGGCCACCACAAGAAGCTCTTATCAGCAAAACGATCGGAGACCATAATGACTCTCTGATCTTCTGCTGAGAAGAGGGTGTGGAAATGTGGGC